GGGAAAACAAAAGAGCAAAGTTGTGATCTTGGATGGTGGGATACCTATTCATACTTCCATAATTAAATCGAAAGCTCCTAAAAGTATTCCATGGTCAAATTTTAATTCATGAAATCCCGAAAATTCAGTGCATCTTTCAGTGTAAAATCCTTGCGAAATAGGCGGATAATACACTTAAGAAAACAGCCCAACTCGAAGAATGGCACCCTTCAAATTTAGTGTTCAACTCAACGCTTTCTTTCATTTGCCTCAAGGAGTATTTTCATTAAAAAAGGGGAGTAAGTACTGTGACATTAACTTTAATTTCCTTCTCCGCTCTCTCCTGATTCCTAACTAATTTTTAACCCGCTCTTTGTTTTGAACGTGTAAAACTCTGTGACTTTTTGTTTGCCTGAAAGAACAATTAATTTGCAAATGAATTCGTCTACCCTCCCGCCAAAGTATCACAAGCGCCATATGCGACGTTTTAAAATTTTCGCCGCCATTTAATTTTTTTTTTTTTTTTTTTTTTTTTTTTTTTTTTTTCACAGAGCAATTGTTGCGGTTGAATCTGTATTTGAGAATTTCGCTGAATCTTATCGGCAGCACAAAGAAAATTCAATGAAGTTTTCGGACAGCTTTGTTGAACAATTCCTCTGTAAAAAGATAAATGGTGGAGGAAATTTTTAAACGTCGCATGGCGCTAGGCGCTCGTGATACCTACTGGCCGGAAGGCGAGGAATTATAAAAGAGTCAAAGGAGACTGTGAAGCACACAATCCTGTGTGCTTATACATATCGTCACCTTCCAGGCAAAGTATCACAAGCGCTATTCGACGTTTAAAAATTTCCGCCGCCATTATATTTTTTTACAGAGAAATTGTTCAACGAAGCTGTCCGAAAATTTCACTGAATTTTCTTTGTGCTGCCGATAAAATATAGTGAAATTTCTAAACAGATTCAACCAACAATTTCTCAGTAAAGAAATAAAATGGCGGCGGAAATTTTTAAACGTCGCATGGCGCTTGTGATACTTTGCCTGGAAGGTGACGATATAAAGTCTCATTTGATTAAAACATATTTACATTGTTCCTTTTAGCATGAATACGTGCGTTTATGCTCATTTGTTTTTTTTTATTTTGACCGGTATACAGGTGTGTTGGTAATAATACGGGCAGAGATTGAATGCGCCTTCATCCTGACGGCTATGCAATTTGCGCCTCAAAAACGTTGAAACAGAATTTGCTAAGTTTCAAGTCTTAAAAACCAGGAGATTTTTTACTCAATATTACCAAATGAATTCGCTCGATTTTACAAGCCTAGAGAACCAAGATATTGTTCCGAGACCAAAAACGAATCACGTTTCAATCTGTTGGTATCTAATTTTTCATCCCTGAAATATGTCTCCTCCTAAATTAAAGAACTTTACTTTACAAGATCCCTTAGTGATGCGGGCGAAATACGTCAATTTTTATCAATCGGCGCCAATATAATTACAAATTATTTTCTCTTTATCAGTTTGATAAATTTACGAACTGATTCCGAAAATTAAGGAAGACATGATCGGTAGAAAAGGCAATAACTTGCACGATGCTTAAATTTTTATTTGCAAGGGTTGTTCTGACATTCTTTTCCTGAACCTTTTTGGCAACAAATGAGTAGTAGGTAGTTCTTGCTTTTGGAAAATGATGATTTTCCCAAAAATTTGGAGATTGCAGCTTTAACTAGAGGGCATTTTTTGAAAAACGTATGATTTTGACCCCCATAACACGCTCCTTCTGCAGTTCGACGGTTCAATCCTGGGACATCGCGGTCAGTGTGTCCCCGACCACCGGCATTAGACTTTTTTTCTGGGTTATTTTAGATTACTTTGAAGTCAAGAACCCCGGAAAAAAACAAACAGGGGATTCGCAAGGAATCCGGGTTTCATCTCTCCAAAACCATCTACCAGAGAGCACGGAGCAACTCTAGGTTGAAATGCGTGGTTCATATAAACTAAGGGGGTAAATTATGGACTAACGAGGGAGGGTCTCTCATGGGTTGCCGTTTGTTAGTCCATTACCTACTTCTTTTGCCCATTGCAACTACCTGCTTCCATCAATAGGATCCATCAATATCTCTTCTGTTTTCTTTGTCCATAGCTTTCTCTATTAATTTCAATAAACGGCCCACTGAAAGCCAGAATGGAGATGTTGCATGTGTGAGGAATTTGCGATTTGACTATGGATTCTTATGCAAAAGTTCGCGAGAGACACGATGGTCCCACTGGTTTAATCTGAAATCAGCTCCCAAGCTCAAAAAAAGCTCTCAAGTTGAGGCCAAAATAGAGGGAATGTCCCACGCTATCCTGAGGGTCCGCGTATACATCAAGACTGGCAAATTCTCCATGCAAAGATAGGGAGCAAATACATTAGCAGGGTTGCCGTGTTTTCAGTTGTGCCCAAATGAATTGGCATCCCTGCTAATGTATTTGCTCCCTATCTTTGCATCTTGAGTTTGTTTTGATGTAGAGTTGGACTCTCAGAATAGCGTGGGATATCCCCTCCATTTTGGCCTCGACTTGAGAGCTTTTTTTGAGCTTGGGAGTTAATTTCAGAGAAAACCAGCGGCACCATCGTATTTCTCGCGAACTGTGACATAAAAATCAGTAGTCAACTCGCAAATACCTCACACATGCAACATCTCCATTCTTTAAAACTGCCGTTATTGCCTCTCTGTGCGAAGAAAATTAAGCAAAAACTTCAAGGAATGATGTCAATTTGTTCTCCTGTAAAAAAATAACATAGAGACAGAGATTTTCAGCGTGGGATATCCCCTCCATTTTGGCCTAAACTTGAGAGCTTTTTTTGAGCTTGGAAGTTGATTTTAGAGAAAACCAGTGGAACCAGCGTGTTTCTCGCGAACTTTTACATAAGAATCAACAGTCAAATCGAAAATTCCTCACACATGCAACATCTTCATTAAACAAGCATCGTCAAGTGAGTGCATCGACACATATTTCGCACTGAAATTGGGAGTGATCCTGGTCAGAAGGCAATATGTGGAGCACTCGGGCACTTAGTACTCGGGAAGCGGGGAAAAGCGTTGGTTATCGGGTTACCAGAGCGAAATGCATCTCGACAATCAACTCGCTTGCGACGAGCAACGAGTTAATGCAACGCACCTCCCGGCGCACCATATACAGTTTCAGTGTATCCGGTTTCTCGACTTCTTCATCCAGCTTATTCTTTCGCTTGTTCTTACACTTTACGCCCTCTTGTACTTCGGTAAAAACACCGCCGTGATGGACGAATTTGTAGCAGTGGTTTCCATCCCCCTCCCACGCAGATGAGAGCTCCTCCCAAAAATTAGAGATGCCCCCCCCCTCCCCATCCAAACATGAAGCAACCCCACTTATTCAGCGGGGGTCTGAGGGAGGCCTCTCCAGAAAATTTTGAAATTTTCATATCTTCAAAACGCAATTACCCAAGTAGCAGTGCTCGCTATAAAAAGCGATTTCATCGGTTGGTTATCGCGATTTCATCGGTTGGTTATCGCGATTTCATCGGTCGGTTATCGCGATTATATCGGTGGCAATATATCGAGATGGTATCGCATAACAACTGCGATATATGGCGATTAAATTGCTACACATCGCAATTTTTTTTTCAGACCTTTAAAACGCAATTGGAGGCGCTTTCGGTGACTTGAATCTTCTTCTGGGACACTTTCTTTTCACCTTGATTTAAGGATAAATGTACGGCCAAAAATAAGAAATGTTTTAAACCATATGATATTATACAAAGTGATATATGGAATACACAACAAATATGTTAGTTTTCAATGAGCGAAAAACGTGAGACACAGCATTTGAGGGGGGGGGGACATTTTCCTGGATGGTGTAGAGCACAATTTTTGTCTCGTAGCTAGGAAGACATATTATCTAAGGGGGGAAGGGAATTTTCCTTAGGGGGAAAAAATATTTCCCTAAGGACCTTCCCCTCCCTCCCTTGAAATATGGCAACAATACGATAGATATGATACAATAGTTACGACTTCTCTGTGCCTTAAATTGTATAACTATTTAAATGCGCAGGAGCATTCCCATCTCTGTATGTTCTCGCTACTTCGTAGAGGTTTTGTTCCTTTCTCGCGACTTCCATTTCTGCTCTGAACGGCGAACAGGAGAAAATGAGAAGGAAAGAGGAAGATGAACGAAAATTAAAAGATGGGGAGAGATTGGGAGGAAAAAGTATGTTTTTAATTTTCATGCGAATATTTAATTTGAAACACCCTCTGGTGCCTTGTAGCCATTCGTTGCTTTGAAGGTATTATAAATATTAAACATATGCTTAAAATGGGCTCAAATTTTTCGGCTAGGTAACATGTAACACCTGAGTGTGAACCCCGCTACAGATGGAAAAATTCCTGGACTTTTCCAGGTATGAAAAAAAACCAGAGCAGGGTGTCTAGATTTATTTCATTTTGAAAAATCCTGCTTTTTTCAGATGTTTGACTGCTAAATTCTGATTTCATAATTTTTCCAAATCCTGATTAAATCCTGATTTTTGCGGAGAAAATTTAAAATTTTTGCCAAAGCGTATGCCAAAAAAAGAACTTTAGAATTAAGTTCTAAGGATTAAAAACAAGTGCTTTTCTCAAATCCTGACGTAACGACCGATTTTCCCTCAAATCCTGATGAGATCGGGATTAAATCCTTGACCTCAGATCCTGATGGAATCGGGAAAATCTCGATGCAAGACACCCTGCTGAATTTTCCAGGTTTTCCCTGTCATTTACCACCCTGAATTTAATAATTAAGACTTTTTTTTTGTTATATACGAGAAAAAACATGTGGAGGTGAAACTCCCCTGTCGGAGGAGTTCAGCTCTCCGGTTCGTTTGCGAGGTTCGGTTTCAATTTTCCATGCACTTGACTCGCTCAAATGTCAAAACAATAACATAATTTCAAGGAAAAACGGATTAAGTTTCCGCCAGAAGCCTTCCAGGCTCTCCCGTACGGCCGAGAGATTCTGATTCATCCGCTTTTTCCCCGCCAATTAGTTTTTCGCGCGCTAGCGGGTCCGCGGCAAAAGTCTCTCTTCGGTCGTCAGAGCCCTCGCTAGGATAGACGCCTCCTCCGCGCGGTCTAAAACACGCTCTTTAATTCATTTAATTTGATAACAAGTTTTGAATAGCCCTCAATTCATTTGCAACATCATAATTTGTTTAAAAAATAATTAAATCATTTTTAAGCTCAGGATAATAGACACATGAGGAAGGATACCGCAGAGTGATTTTCAGAAAATGTACCTATTCGTAAATCTCGTTTAAATGTGTATCCCTTGGTGGAAAAGCGAAGAGAAAAAGATAATTCAAAATATCAATTTTGAATGGAAAATATTAATTTTTAATCTCCTTTTTTCTTCACTTTGAATCCGAATCATAAATCTATCAGATAGAAAATTGTGATGAGTGCCTACCATAGAACACTAAGGTCAATTTTTACAAAAAAAATTCATGAGAAAAATATTTCTATGACTAAACTTGAAAATAAGAGAAAAATTAATGGAAAGGAAATAATAAATTAGAGAGCATTTTTCCGAAAAGAATCAAAATTAATGTTCCTTACAGCTTCATCTTTGGAAAATATCCCTTCGAAGGAATGAAATAATAACGTAGAAAACGCTGTAAACTAGAGAAACGTCTACCTACATTACTTCACACTTTTACGTCTTTTTATTTGTCCGGAATATTTCTCCCAAAAAATCCAACAGAAATCAGTAACCGTAGTGATGTCTTAGAACCAGCAAATTTTTTGTGGAAGAATAAAATTCTGTGTCATTTTTATGGTAGAAATTGCGCTTTAAAAAGTAAAATCTACAATCGCAACAGTAAATTTATGCCTATATATTCTACAATTTCATGACCATCTGCTAGCATACAGAGACTACAATCCATCATCAACGTTCGTTTTGAATTTCGATAGTGTGTCAGTTGAGGTAGAGCGCGGAAAATATCAAGATCCGTCAGTGTTTGTTTCTGAAATGGCTTTACAGCTCATCGTCCAGTTCCTCCTCGCCTTGGCCGTGCTCAACTACGTGGATTCGAATTTGGGGGACTATCAGCGCTACGTTGAAGTGAAAAAATATTATACCAAGAAACACAAGTACAACGATGGTGTGGTTCGATTGGTCAACGGACGCACTGCGGCTGAGGGTGAGTCTTATATTTTGTTAAATCACTAATCCTGCCGTGCTACGGAAAAACGCCGTATGAACCTTCAGGAGTTGCCAAATTTCCCCTGGAAAATCACTAACTTTCAGGAAAATTTTTGAATATTTTTCTGCCATAACTTCCCGGATAATTTTTTTTTCGTAATTTGATCTAGTGTGTTTGAAAATTTCAACGGAAAATATTCATAATTTTCCTCATAAATAAACATTTTATAGGAGAAAATTTGGCAACTCTCGAATGTTCATACGGCGTTCTTCCTTAGCACGGCAGTATCGCGATGGCCATGAACAAATGAAAAATTGAAGTTCCCTGGTAAAAATTGGCGATAAGAGCTGCGTTTCAAAATACCATGGGAGTTCTTAAAGCCGACTGAAAAAGGCGATAGAAAATCATATAGCTGGCTGTAGAAAGCTAAGAAACTCATACGACCGGGCTACACGAAGCGATAAAAAATTATACAGCCGGTCTATAGTTCCTATCGCCGGGCTTTACACTTTATCACCTGGCTGTTGCTTTTCCGCCATTGGCTATAAAAGGCTATAAGAAATTGTGTAGAAATTCGTGTGTTTTGTAAATCCTTAAGTTTGTACGGAATCACCTTAATATTTACAAAACGCACTTTATATTTTCCTTTACTACATATTTTTTTCATCAATTAAAATGAGAATAATCCATACAGAGTGTGCAAACATTTCAAAGTCATATGAGTTGAAAACGCTGACTCCACGAGATTAAATACTAGAGTCTAACACAAAGCGGAGCGGCGGCGCATTGGCGCCTACAAACCTAACAGGGATACTTCATGCATTGGGCAATGCGTGAAGTATCCCTGTTAGGTTTGTTGGCGCCAGTGCGCGTATCGCGCTGGATGCCCGCCCGCTGCGCCGCGCCGCAGCGTACCACGGCGCTTGAAGCAACTATTCCACACCAGAGGTATTGGACAGTATCATACGAAATTGAAGGCGCTCCAACATATTAGGAATGGCAGACATCCTTCAAAAGTCCGTACTTTTGAAGGATGTCTGCTTCCCGCAGCAAGGAAGCTTTCCTCGCAAAATAAATCAAGATACCACGGCCCAAAAAGAGAGCGGTAGTTCAAAAACTCACTAAGTCTTAGCATCCGTAATCAGTAACGTTTAGCATACACTTTATCGCCAGGCTGTTGCTTGATCGCCATCGGCTATAAAAGGCTATAAGAAATTGTGTTGCCGGCTGAAGAAGGTATTGGAAATCTTACGGCCGGCTGTAGGTCTATGGTATTTTGGAACACAGATTCTACTGCCAATTTTTACCAGGGTTGAGCAGAAAATTATGATTCAATTACCTATTGAATTTCTATTTTGGGTTCCTTTTTGATAATTGGAAAAATAACTAAATGGAGAATTTGTACGCAAATGTTTTATTGCTTCATCTGAAAGTGTTTAAAGAGCTGATTTCATAGTATTTTTTTATAGTTTTTTTCTGATGTGGGGAATAGTATAGAAATAGACTTAAAAAATAGAAAATGCACTGCCTGACGTTATCTGGCGGCATTTCCCATTCAAACACGTGTAGTTTAGCAGATTAGATCATTTTGTAATATGTTCTCCAATAATTGTTCAATTCTTGAACCAAGGGTATCCTCGTGTTCTGTTCACTCAGTAGTCGACACCTGCTAATACTCTATTGAATGATCAAAAGGGATCAGGGGATTTAGCTGACTCTTTCGTAATTTCTTCGGAGTAAAGGTGAATTGAGGGGCTTGAGGGACACGGCGCACAAGTGTAGTTTTTGATAATTCGAGAAATACGTGTTTGAAGTTCTGACATTGCATGCATCCTTACGGCGGAGAGAAAGCTCAAACTGACTTTGTGATGCTTAAAAATTTGAATTTGGCAGCGAATTTTTCACAGAATATACATTAAGACTAGTTTTACCATGAAATCATTAGGTAAATAATATCTCATTTTTTTCAAAAACTGCACTTATGCGCCTTGTCCTCTAGGCCCCTCAATTGAGATGCAGGCGCGAATGACGTCTTGCACGCCGTGAAAAATGACCGATACAATAGTAACGACTGTATTGTATCTTAAATTGCATAACCATTTAAATGAAGGAGCATTGTAACCCGAACTCTGCACATGCTCATCCAGGTGCAAAGTGTGAAACCATGTATCTCCGTTTGAGACGTTGAAGATTTCCTGTCATAATTTATTTTTTCTTTGGAGTCTTTGTCTTCTAAAAAAAAAGAAAAAAAATTGCACCGGCTATTCCGGCGATTTTCAAAAAGTTGTCCTAAAATTTCTAAAGAATCGACTAAAAATGATTCATTCTTATAACCCCGGAAGATCTGGACTGACTTTCCTCTCAAGCATGGGGGCCAACATGCCAATTTCTCTTAATTTTAATTTTTTTTTTTTTTCTAGTTAGGTCTCTCTATCCTTCCTTAAACGCCTCATTGATTATTTTGCCTTTTGTACCTGATTTCAACAGGGAACGTGGAAGTATTTCACGACGGACGATGGGGCAGCGTATGCGATGATGAGTTCGACGAGGCCGAAGCGAGGGTTGTTTGTCGACAGTTGGGTTACCGAGACTACCAGCGGGTCACCAGAGACTCATACTTCGGACAAGCAAGAAGTAAATACAATTGCATGGACCTAGTTTAACAGAGACGCACCGACTTGCATTTTGGGAGGAAATGAGTTCCGAGTTGTTACGAATTCGACAGAATCGTTGTAAAAAAATTAATACTCGATGACGTGAAGGGGCGAAAAGAGAATTTGAAAGTTCAAACTCTCTTATGTATTTAAAAATTGGATTATCATAGCGAGTTTTTCACGAATTATATTTTAAGACTAGTTTCAGTTGGTATTATTAACAATTCAATTTCGTTGAAAAAGGAATACTGTACTTATGGGCCTTGTTCTCAAAGCCCCTAATTTGAATTTGTAAGAAACGCCGAAGACAAAACACAAAATAATTACGTATTGCTGCAAGCAGAGTGTTCGCACCTTTCTGGCCTACCACGATAATTGAAGGCGAATTCACAATTTTTCGAAACATCTGACCCCCTTGCGTTTGTATGCGCTCCCTAAATTTTTAGCCGGCAGAGGCGTCGTGGCGTGCTTTGCGATATATCGTTTGATCTCCCATGTACAGCCATGGAGAAGGATCGATGAGCAGGATGTTCGCAACGAACACCTTAAAATCGATTCTTTACCATGAGTGTAAATAGGATATCGATCGATATATCGCAAAGCACGCCACGCCACTGTTAGCCAGAGAATGTCACCGCGAATTGCGAGTATATGGTGAAACTTTCGAGAGGAAATACTTCTATAGAGATTCCTCGTAATTATGTACCCCAACCTAATTTCACTCTTGTTTCTGTAATTTGTCTCTAAATTGTCTCTTGACAGAGAAGTTCTGGATTGATGACGTTTTCTGCGGTGGAAGCGAATACGAGTTGGCCCAATGCAAGTTCAGCGGGTGGGGCAACCACGATTGCACCCCTCAGGAGGCCGCCGGGGTCGTCTGCCAACAGACCAACGACGTCAAATCCAACTGGACAACCAATTATAGTACCAAGAAATCCTCCTACAGCTCCTACTCCTACAAACAGCGAATCCAAGTAAGACTTCCCATAAAAGGGGCTTATTTATGCTAAAAAGTACTCAACCGTGTTAATAAAAAACGCCGTACGAACATTCAAGAGTTGCCAAATTTCCCGGAATGAAACGTGTATTTTTGAGGAAAGTTATGCATATTTTTCCATGAAATTTTCAGATGCTTTACATTAAATAGTGAACAAAATTGACTGAAAAATTTGAGGAAAAATAATCACAATTTACTCAGTAAATTCGGTTTATCTTGAAGGAAGTTTGGCAACTCCTGATGGCTCATACGGCGTCCTTCCTTAGCACGGCAGTGCTGGAGACGGGTGGGTAAGGAACAATGTAAAAATAGGAGTAATTCCTTTTGGGAAAATAGAAAAGTGGGTTTTCACATTAAATCAAAAGGAACTAAGCGCCGAAATATGCTAACTCATGAGCCTTGGACATGTAACAAGAACGTTGTGGACAGGGCTCATGAGTTAAAGGGCGTTCACGGCAACGTGAGAAAGGATATCTACGGCGTAAGTCCGCAATCACATAATTATCTCGCTTGCGGTGTTTGAAAATCTCCGCCTCTGTGTTATTTTTTTAAAGGAGAACAGATTGACATCATTCCTTGAAATTTTTGCAGAATTTTCCTCGCACAGAGAAGAAAAATCCTGACAGTTTTAAAGAATTTCCGTTGAGTAGTTTTCCGTTTAAAATATAAAGTATGACAGGAAGTCTGCAACGTCGCAAACCGAGTTATGTGACTGCCGACTTACACCGTCGATATGAAATTTTCGGCTATAACTGCACAATTTGATGACGATTTCTTCAAATTATTATAAATTGAATGGAGTGCTTCATGGAGGGAATTACACGAGAACATCGATGAAACTACTTCAAAAACCTCTGCATTCCGTATTGGCATTGATTTGAGATTTTGATGTTCCCACGTACATTTTGTAAGACTCCACTCATTGACTCACTCCACTCCACTGAGCGCCCCTGGAGAGGCGGTGAGAGTCTAAAGTCAAAACGCCTTCAAAAGGCCGCTTCTGCAACACGGATGTCCATGGAGTTCGAAAAGATGCATCCGCGCCTTGAGATGACATTCGTTTTGTCTCCGTCGTCACATGCGACACTAACTAAAGCTTTGATTGGTTACACCTTAACTTAATTCCAGCGTTCCCTATGGTGCCGATTAAGTAAACCATCGCTGATTTTTATCGCGACATAGTCAATTTTCTGAGAAATGTATTATTTAAAGGTATTGCAATGCTGCATGCAGGCTCTCGAAAAGGCAACAAATAAGTATTGGAGCATGAAATGTAGAGTTTAGACTTTAATCCACTTTCATGAGTCGTCCGTCAATAGTTTTTTTTTTCCTATAAGAAAAACTTACTTAAAAAAGGTTCTTAACAAGTGCAACATTTTCAAAGACGAATCCTGATGAATTTGGAACGAAATGAGGACTGTTCTGCCGAGCTCAGGAAGAACGCCGTATGAGCCTTCAGGCGTTGCCAAATTTCCTTCGATAAAAAACGAATTTACCGGCAAAATTGTCATAATTTTTCTTTAAATTTTTCAGACAATTTCATTTGCAATTTAATCTTAAAGATCGAAAAATATCAAGGAAAAATAAGCGTATCTTTCCTCAAAAATACATGTCTTATTTGGAGACATTTGGCAACTCTCAAATGTTCAGACGGCGTTCTTCCTTAACACGGCAGTATTCGTCTTTCGAAAAAATGAAATGCGACAAAAAGTAACACGACAAGCCTAAATACTTGGAATTGTATGATTGCAAAACTATAGCAAAATAAAGTCTGATAAATATATAAGTAAAAATTACATTATGTTCTGTTCTTTCCTCCCTGAGAAGTGGGCTGGGTCCAGGGCCGAATTAAGGGGATGGCTACATGGGCCGCGGCTCATGGCGGCAAATCTAAGGGGCGGCAAAAATTTCCAATTTTTTAAAGTGTAGGTATAAATAAATGGATTCATAAAAACAAAATTACAAACGAGAAAAGGCGACAAAATCTCTCATTTCCTGAGAGTATGGTAATTTCTAATTTTGTCTTCTCTTAGTGATACAAGAGGCAGCACCTCCAATAAGTCGCGTTAAGAGAGAGACCAAACACGCGATTTGGCCTGGAACGGCGCGACTTATTAGAGAGAAATGATAACGAGGACTTGAGATGAAAAGGAGAAGCTCTCGGCGCGGCGATTGGCATGTAACACATATTAGCGCCTACAAGACTGCACGAATACTTCACGCATTGTATCAAACACAGTGCGGTCATTGCGGTCAGCGTGAAACGCATAGCGCCTACAAGACTGCGTGAATACTTCACGCATTGCGTCAAATACGGTGCGGTCTGCGCGGCGCGGCGCGGCGGCGGAAGTTAAAATCATTGATCCACATTTATGTTTGTTGTTTCATAATTTTTCCGTTCATTTCTTATAAATGGAAGGCCTTGTCCACACAGAGATAGGTTTACGGAACTTAACTTTCGCGCAAAGTTCCGTGAACTTTTGCAGGTAGTGTTGACAGGGCTTTCGCAAAAAATGTGTCCAACATGAGTAAATGCGTCTAATCCACCTCTCCCCCGCTGACACGTTCATTTGATGGTTTTTATCGAGTTTCAAAACGATAAGAGGGGAGCGGCAAAATACAGGCGGCCCATGGGCGGCAAGTAGGTGAATCCGGCCATGGCTGCGTCTAGTAATAAAATAAATGCAGAAAGGACTAATTCATCTTAAAAAAAAGAGTCCCTACACAAAGTGTCGCAGATATGCAAACCCGCGTGTAGTCAAGGTCCTTTCGTTTTTAATCGGACGATAGAGCGTGAGTTTTCGTAAAGATGAGAGCGCCGCGCCATGGTGTCAGCAACCATGGCTTTCCATGATTTCGGCGCCACGGAAAAATTCCTTGATAATCATTCGGGATTTTCCCTCATTTTCTTCTGGAATTTCTAGGGGAGAAAGACTTTTCTCTTAAGTTAGGAGAAACAAATCAACTTTTCCATCTTCAGCCTACGTATAATTGGCCCACATTTTGCAAAAAGGAGACATAGTTCTAGCTCATTTTAGAAACAGCTCATATGCTACTGGTTTCCCTATGCAGAAAGGTGCTTTCGTGGCGGAGCCAGAGATATTGGTTCCTTATTGCAAGCTGCATTCGAATTTATACCTTCGTACAAGCTGGGTCAACACGAACCACAACTTGTAAAATAATTTGATCTCAGAGCGGAAAAAGAGTAACTCCCGCTTTTCAGCACCGATTTCCTAGGAATTTTTCTAATTTTCTGATTTTCTTCCCATCATAAATCTCAGTACATCGCAGCTTTTCCACATCCTGGATAGCGAGACCTACATACTGCCGAGCTACGGAAGAGCGCCGTACGCACATTCGAGAGTTGCCAAATTTCCTCGGATAAAATGTTTATTTATGAGGAAAGTTTTAGATCAAATTACAAACATAATTATCTGAGAAATTGCATGGCTGAAAAATATTCAAAAACTTTCCTGAAAATTAGTTATTTGCCAAAGGAAATTTGGCAACGCCTGAAGGCTCATACGGCGTTTTTCCTTAACACGGCAACTAGTACCTAAGAGGAAAAATTTCTACCGTTTAGGGCCTTTTGCTCCAAACATTTGACTGATTCATGCATCTGTCTTGTTATTGATTTCAGGACATGACAGGAGGGCACTTGTCTATTCGTTTGACTGGAGGCCGAGTGAGAGAGGAAGGGCAAGTCGAGATTCGTGTCGGTTATTCAGGTGATTTCATCTATTTTATAGTTTCCTCGAAAATAATTCACACCTCGATGGAAAGTTTAAGAGTTCAACTTTTACAAACTTGCATGAGAATTACCAAAATAAAATTTAAAAATATATTCAGAACATCAGGGCATTTAGCAACTTTGTAGGCTACGGACTTTAAGACCAAATAGAGACACAAGAGTTGTCCGTACTTGATATTCGAACTGAAAAATAATGGGAAACATGGTCCAGGAAACGTGTTGTGCTTTGATAGTTTAAATTTAAAAAAATCTAAGCAGGAGTAAGTATTAAGTAATGTCTCAAATTAACTTCAAATAAATCTTTTTTTTTTTTTTTTTTTTGAGTTTCAAGCCCTACACACGAGTGAGCAATGTAATGCATGGGTGAATTTTAGCTGCAGCCTAGCTGCTTAAGGTATTCGTCCTTTTGAAAAAATTCCTGAAATCTGAACTGAAAAGAACCAAGCCACATTCAGTGGAAACAGAGAAAGATGTTTAAAGATTCCTTCTTAATGATATGAGGTAAAATACTAATTAGTTGTTTGTAGTTGGGATCCTAAAAAAACTGTGCAGTTCTTGATTTTTTAGGAGGCAACATTGTACTATAAGCCTTGTTTAAAATAACTAAAGATGCAATTTTTTCTTTCTTTAAATTGAGTTCCTCCGTTTATTTCCGCCAAACTCAGTTCAATCATTGCGCAAAATGTGTTTTGCGCAGATCTCCATGATAAAGAGTTCCTACAAAGAAATATTTTATATGATTTTATTTTTCATAGCACTTGGGTACATTCATGTCTTAGATACCTTTGAATTTTTTAACAGATTGGGGAGTGATCTGTGGGGATGGTTGGAGTCTGAGGGAGGCAAATGTGGTTTGTAGACAATTGGGCTTGGGCCACGCTACCTACGCTGCTCATGGTCATTTTTACAGCCGATACAGCCACAATGTACTACTCACTGATGTCGAATGCAGAGGGGATGAGGCTTCCTTGATGTACTGTACGCACACAAAATCACCTAAAACTTGCACCAACCACAGGAATGGTGGAGCTGGAGTTATATGCACTAGAGGTTGGTATTAACTTTTGACGATGAAAATGAATTATCTCCAATTTAATCAAGTATGATTTGGGTATAGAATTAAACCAATGGAGATGTATTAATTCTACTCATCACTTTTATGTAATGTAAAATTGGTGTTAAATTTAACCAATGAAAATGTATTACGTCTAATCAATGCTTTGGTCTAATACAGAAAACCTACCAGTAATGCTAGCAAAATAAAAAACTCACTAATAAAACTTTGAAACTTATGGTTATGTTCCACCCTTGAAATTCCTTTGCTTTTGCTTAACCTTTTGCAGCTACCACTGTGAAAAAACGTTGTACAAGCATTTGAATGTTGCTAAATTTCCTCTTAGAAAATATTTATTTTTGGAGAAAATTTTAAATATTTTGCCTTAAAATTTCCTGATACCGAAGTTAAAAGTTTGCACAACATTTTTGGCAAAAATGGAAGAAAAATATTTTAAAATTTTTGCGAAAATTGGTGATTTATCAAAGAAAAATTGGCAACTTTTGAAGGCTCACACAACGTTATTTCTTAGCTCGGCAGCATTGTAGATTGATCAGAAAATTCCTGGAAGTTTGTGCATAAATTTTAACACAGTTTGCAAATAAAGTATGTGATTATTGATTACCGGTGGATAAATCTTACAAACTTTCTCTTTCTTGGATTAAACCTTATCTTTTGCTAGAACATGTACTGCTGAAGTATTTCAGGAAACATGTTATAACAGTGATGGTTGCAAGACACATACCTCAATTCGCAATGTTGCATAAATCTTGTCACATTTTAATTTTTCAAAAGAAAACCAACAAACATTACTTATTTCTAGGAATTCTTTCTGATTCCTCTTCATTCTGTCCTTTCTCACACTAAATTCCATATCAATTTTGAACATTAGTTTTCAATCATTAATCTTCAAAATATAAAACAACAGCATTAAATTTTGCAAAACAACAATTGAGAAAGTGCTTTGCAATTACATCATCGATTGCCTAATATTAGTTTGCAAAATATTTCCTGCTTAAAATGGCATGATCAGAGAAGAAAAATAGCTCTCTAAAAATTAAAAACAAATTAAGTCTTTAATTACGAAAAACACAGTACTGGTACACGATAAAACAATATAATGCTAAAGCATGTAAATTATCCTAGTAAAGAAACGAGAAGGATTTCATGTAGAAACATATTTACAGAGAAAATATTGGTTGTCCTTCAAAAGTGATTGCAATTATATACATAGTTTGTACATTAGAGAATGAACATCAGAAATTAATTTCAATTCGCTGCTTTTTCTTCCAAATTAGGTTTGAAAGTTTCAGTAAGGATCTGACCCGAATAAAGACTAGAGTTTAACCTACGAGCTCTATCCTCTAAAACTCCGTAAGCAAAATGATTAAGGAAGATACCTTTAGGAAGTGCGACTCCTTGGAACCGATACAAATGAAGGTTATCGTTTTCTATTTGGTGGACAGATGCTACAGTGCAACGTCCTATGAATTGAGTACTCCCTACCATGGGTCCTCTGCTAATATCCATATGGTCTCCTACTCTATATACAATGACTCTCTTGTCTGGGGCCTGTTCAAGAATGGAGGGAATTTGTTCTAACTTGAATTTATTGTGGCTGAAAAGTTCTTGGGCGACATCTTCTTTGACTGCTAAACGTTGCAAAGGAAGGTCTTTCCTTGACATGATAACCATATCTGCACTGAGGATCCGCAACTCATCTTGGGTGGGTTTCCAATCTGTGAGTTCTGGTATTTGAACATCATAAACGAAAGAACCGCTGCGGACATTTGGAGATGGAAAGCTATGAAGGTTTACCTGAATATCCTCCTTGAACGCATTGGAGATAACACCACCTAGCAGCAGCGAGCATGTTCGCCAGAAGGCTCTGTTGACTTGAAAAGGATCTGGATCTTGAAAATGCAACAATTGTATTTCACAGTCTTTTTCGAGAGGACGATGCATGTCCCACAGTTCTGTCCCATCAACCATTGCGAGGGCGGACCGCTTGGTTAGCATTTCACTCATATGTTGCGCACAATGAAAAGGTGTTGAAACACCTTTGTTCATAGAGAGAAGAACATCTTCAGGAGTCCCACGATACTGCACTTTTATTTTTTCAATTCGACCGACAGCTTCTTGTTGACGTTTGAGTTCTTTATCGAAAAGAGCTATCTGCTTGGATTTCCACTCCGGCACTGATTTCACAGAGACCTCAGAACTGCTTGTCGATAGGAATTTGAAAGCAGTTTTCTGGGTTAAAAAGGAGTTGTAGGTACGCACTAGGGTTTTCGAAAACATTTTACCGGTTGAAATGACTTTACTACACACAGAAAAACATAAAAATCTAGAATTCACATCAGTATCACATGGAAAGTTTTGTTGTGATTAGGAGTGAGGTTAGGGTTGCTCTGTTTATGGAAAGTGGCGCCAGATGGCGTCGCGCCACGAAAATTTGAAAAATGGCGCGATTTTTTGAAATGACGGACATGAAATAGACGAGCGCTTCCATTCAAGAATGACGCATCAGTGATTAGTGCATGGCGAATTTATTTGAATTTGAAAATTCACTTTGAGTATATTCAAATTTTATTAATTTTTGGGAGTTGATGGTTGAATTTCTGTCGAAGATTTATCACCTCCGGTCGAATTTGAAAATCACATCAATACAAACTCTGATAGTATTTAAAACGAAGCCCCGCAAACTTTCGATCATACTCAAGGATAAATTTCATGTTAAATCCACACCGAAAATGAACAAACATAGAGGTATCGAACAAGTCATGCTGAAATATTGATTTCACTTTATATATTTTAGCAAAATTCGGGACAATTAAGTTGAACAGCCTATGTTTCAGCCGGCCATTCCGAGAAAAAAACCTTCATGAAATTTTATGGTTTTGTTGAATTTGTTGATCAACTTGAATAATATGGTATGATTTTTTGCTGTGTTTCGCGCTCAGACGGTTCCAGTTTTAATATAAATGTCCATAGGAAGATTTTTCGGAATTAGCCATTTAATGAAAGCTCTAAAACGTAATGGCTCCAATTTATTTTAAGGGGTAGAGGGGAGGGTGTGAGAAAAAATAAAAGTGAAAACAATTAATTCAATAGCTCGATGTTTGCTGTTTGCTCTTTCCTCTTTTGCAAAAAAAAACACGAAACATTATGGGAGATTTTAAACGTTGTAATGGAGATAGTATGTTTCGACCTCAGCCATCTATAATCGGTACGACCCATTGTCACAGACGATCAGCAGTTGCCTGCAATTTGTAAGTGGATACTTATACTTTACTTCATTTTCCTATGAAACTTTACGCTTTGTGGCAAAGTTAATTTAGTTTCCTATCCGACCGAGAGCCATCTAAGGTCTTGGATTTTAGCACATGTTCAAACGATTATACCTCCTGCTACTGTGCATCTATGAAGAAAAAGCGTGTATTTCAATGAATAGTAAAATAATGAGTGCTATAATCTTGTTCTTTTATTTCTGACTTTTATGCTTTTTTAATCAGTACCTGTGTCTTTTAAATTGCCAGAGAGGAATAAATAAAGTAAACCTGGCGTAGATGTCTGTTCACATGGGTGGAACTAGAAATTCCCGTGAAGGGACCCGAGGGGCATTTTAACAAGGGGGATTTGGGGGCACAAAAAAAACATTCCACCAAGAGGGGTCTGTCTGCGTCTGCAGGCCTCTTCTAACTCTAGAGGTAGGTTTCGGGAAAACTTTTAGCAAAAGAAGAAGGCGATCTGGGGGGGGGGGGGGGGGTGTCTCCGAAAAATGTTGAAAAATTGGGTCGTCTCAGAGGCAATTTTGAGATCTTCTCACTGAAAAATTGATCAAATTACAATTCCCAACACGAAAAATATATCACGCACTTACCCAGCAAAATTTCTCACCTTTCATGAATGGAGCCAAGTAGATTTCTGGGGAGGGTACCCTGATTCCGCCCATGTCTGTCCATCACTTGATCCTCTTTTTCATAGTGTTATACTTATTCATAACAAGGCATTCATTGTTTTTATAAGAATTGAAACTTTCCTCTGTGGCATATGGTTTTGCAAATTTTCATCAGTGTATTCTTTTTTGAAAAACTCATTACCTAAAATTTCGAATCTCAGGAAAAAAAATTTGAAACTTGTCGTTTTTACAAAAGCCACAACATTGGTTCTAGTTCTAATTCCCTAGAATCCAAGATTCAAAATTAATACGGGCCATAGAGGGTTAAGATGATCAGTTTTACTAGTTATATTGATAATAAAAATGAAGCTAAAAATTAAGTACACTTAAAATAAGAAGAAAATCGCTGAAATTAAAAAAAAAAAAAAAACACTAAAAACTTTCCTTACTCAATTTTTTTCCTCGGACAAAAGTTTCTTTAAGGCTTCAAAAATAAGGCAATATAATCCTAGACAATATAATGACCTAAAAATCAATTGAAGTAAGAAGAGATAAATAATAAAATCAAATATTTACACACCTAGTAAAAATACTAAAATTGGTGTGTATAAATTATAATGAGTTTAACTAGTAATTTAGTAAAAACTAGTTCACAAACTTGCCTTAAATTGTGCTCAAATGAGCTTTTCCCCTCTGTATCGAGATTTTCAGTTTTCTGGATTTTAACGCACTTTGGCTAAAAATTGCAACTTCTGTCTAAAAGCTAGTTAATTATAATGAGTCGTACTACCATCGCTAAAGAGCGGGAGCGGCGGACCCCCCCGAAACGTCGGCCGGGACAAAAATGGAATAAGGAAAGTTATTAATATTTTTCAAATTTTAGAGATTTTATTTTTAGCTTCACCAAATGGGTCAGTTGCGCTGGTCAGAAAATCGTGTTTTGATGCTTTATTTGTGCAGATCAACAAAAAATAATAAGATCTGTCGAAACAGCAAATTTCTACGTTGAATATTAACCGAAGTATCGCGCCTTGAAAAACTCGATTTATGACGTCATCCACCTCGGTAGTACATACTATGTTATGCACTACCGCGGTGGATGACGTCAAAAACCCAATTTTTCAAAGGTCGATATCTCGGTTAATATTCAACGTAGAAATTTGCTGTTTCGACAGATCTTATTATTTTTAGTTGATCTGCACAAATGAAGCATCAAAATACGATTCCGTGACCAGCGCAACTGACTTATTAGCAAGTCTTGAAAGTGGAAATCCGAGATAGTGTCGGTAAAAGCGGAGGCTGCGGGAATCTTTGGGGCAGAGTTGTAATGTAATTGGGAGAGCTGGCGCCACTTTTAAGCATTTTCCATGTCCCGAATTCCGAGACTCCTGTGTGACGCCGGGTCACTTTTTCGAGACATAATCGATTGTTTGCGATACACGGGTACCCGGCCATCCGATGACAACAACAACAACAACAACAACAACAACAACAACAACAACAACAACAACAAAGGAGATAGGAATTACCACGTATTCCACACCGCCATTTTGGATCGAAAATGTACCGAAAAAGCGACCCGTACTAGGCGCACACCGGGCTCGGAATTCGTCGAGCAGAACATGGCGCCAGCTCTCCCATTTACATTACGACTCTATGTACTCCATGGGCTTCACTTTGAAGCGGTAGATACAAGACGAGGGCTTTTGCAGAGATGGCCGACCTGGTGATCGACGCTGGTGAGATCGAGCGGTCGGCGTATCTGCAGGACCGGAGCCTGCACTCCTTGCAGTGCGCCATGGAGGAGAACTGCCTGGCCTCCTCCGCCTACAGGATCAAAAGCTCCAGGTACGACTGGTACTCCCAAACCCGGCGACTACTTCGCTTCACAGCCAGGATTGTCAACACCGGAACCGCCGACTTCCGCCCCGCCGTCCCCAAGCACCTCTGGCAGTTCCACCAATGCCACATGTAAGTTCATAATAGATCCTCTTCCATTATTGTCCTTCGAGCTATCGCACTGAAAAAAAATTCTCGGCGTTTTTACCGAGGTCCGTTGGTACCTTTACCATCTCACTTTTTTTTTATCAATTATTGGTAATTTTACCAAAACAGACTAGTAAGCTTACCTAAAAACCGGCATTTTTACTGTTTTTTCAGGTAAGAATACCACTTTTATTGGTAATCGATTCCCGGTAACTTTGCCATTTTATCTCGGTAATTCTACCACAGTCGATAAAAAATATTGGCGTTTTACCAAGGTCCAGTAAAATAACCGAGAAAGTTCAATAATTTTACCAAGAAAAAGCTGGGATCAAATGGAACCTTGAATTCTTGGTAGTTTTACCCTTTCCTTAGTAAATACACCGAGATTTTTTTTCAGTGCGCTTCAAAACAATTGAACACAACCTCAAACAAAAATTTTAGGATTCAAGGTGGTTCGTCAAGCTTAAGTGACGTAGTCGAACTGGCATGCGATATATCGCATCGATTAGGTAAAAAATCTCGGCAGATTTTGAATTTTTAGTAAAAAAAGGACGATAGCCCCTGCGCATGAGCCTAAAGAATCATTGTTAACCCAAAAATCGGCAAAATTCAGAGAAATAAAAGCAGAATAGTGTTTGGAAAAAATCTCGCATTCGATACAGAAATCGATAGCTGATTGTTGAAATTGATAGACAAAGCGATAGACAAAGAACACATAAGGAGTGTGGAGCGATCCTATTGATTGAAATGGGTGGTTTATATAGGCTGAAGGAGAAAATGATGGACTAACTAAAGGGTCTCTCGTGGGCTGCCGTTAAATAGTCCAGTACCCACCTCATTTGTCCATCGCGACCACCCGCTTCTACCAATAGGATCCCTTCCCCTCCTTCTCGTCATCTTTCGTCTACTTCATGTCTATTTCTTTGTCTACCAATTTCAAGAATCAGCCCGCAGGTCCCGCCCGAAAACCTCGGTATTCCATACATGCCGAAGTTTTTTACTGCGTGCATCAAAGAAATACACGAGGCTTGGATGAAAGGCTCCTTCATTTGCATGGTTATGCACCCCGCACGACGCGGAGGTTGAAACTGTTGTATGGCGTGTGATTGCAGGCACTTCCACAGCATGGAGGTGTTCGCGACGTTCGACGTGTTCGACGGGAGCGGGCGGAAGGTGGCCGAGGGGCACAAGGCCTCGTTCTGTCTGGAGGACAACCAGTGCTTGCGCGGGACCCACCCCGAGTACGCATGCGCCAACTTCGGCGAGCAAGGGATCAGCGTCAACTGCACCGACATCTACCGCCACGACATCGACTGCCAGTGGGTCGACATCACCGATCTCAAGCCCGGCCACTACACTCTCAGGGTGAGTAATCCCCCATCTCTCCACCGGGCCGATTATTGAAACTCATAGACAAAGCTATGGACAAAGACTACAAAAGGGATTTGGAGGGATCCTATTGGTGCGGAAGCAGGTGGTGGCAATGGACATAGGAGGTAGGTACTAGACTATCTAACGGCAACCCACGAAAGACCCGACAGTTAGTCCATCATGTTTCTTCCTTAGTCTAAAAGAACCAACCATGTCAACCAATAAGATCGCTCCATACTCCCTATGTCTTCTTTGTATATAGCTTTGTCCATCAGTTTCAATAATCGCCTCGCAGGCCGATTATTGAAATTGATAGACAAAGCTACAGACAAAGAAGGCGATACGAATATAGAGGGATCGGTAATAGGACATAATGTCCAAAAAAAAATTGTTCAAAACCAACAAATGTCCAACTAACAATAAGTAAAAGTCCAAAACTGATAAAAACTGGTAAAAAGATGATAAGAAAGATATATTTAACGCTCATTTTTTACAATTTTACATTGGACTATTTACTCAGTTGGGCATTTATTGGTTTTAGCCTTTGTGTTATGTTGGAAATTATAGGTTTGGACGTCTTTACTTTTGGACCATTTGTTTGGACATTATGTCCCATCACCAGAGGAGTCCTAATGGTTGAAATGGGTGGTGCTTATAGGCTAAAAGGGGTAAATAATGGACTAACTAAAGGGTCTCTCGTGGGTTGCTTGTCCAACCATCCGCTTCCACTAATAGGATTGCTTTATTTCCCTTTTGTCTTTTGAACACTGAAAACAAAATTTCAGTGTTCTCCGGGTAAAAATGCAATTTGCAAAGGGACATTCGGCAACATTGAAATCTGGTTAGGTTTTTTCTTGAAGGAAACGACGAACATTACAGCACTTTTCCGTACGGTTGTCCAGTATACGTCCGGGCAGCCAGATTCTGAGGCCAATTTGACAGCGTTAATTAGAACGAACGAATAATGAGTGGAGCTCTTGCAATGGACTCGAGTGCGTGTTAGCCCGAGGAGGGAGGGGGGGGGGGTGCTTGGGAGATAGGGGGTGATTCGAGATTGATGATGCTCCGAAGCCGGGAACGAGGGTTTAATCTCCCCGTTTTCGGGTTGTTTCAGGTGGCTGTGAACCCGGAGTTCAAGGTCGGCGAAATGTCCTTCGAGAACAACGCCGCTGACTGCGCCCTCTACTATTCCGAGTCCTCGGCCCGGGTCTACAATTGCCGCCTGACCAGACCCTAGCAGAAAATTACAAATCTGCCTTTAAATACCTTACAGTATTCGCGGGGAGCTTCCAGAGAAAACCTCACTCCTTCATCCTTCAAAATGACAGAAAGGCAACCCCTTCGACATGGGTCAGGCGTTTTATGATATGACGAAGTCACGCGTCGCAGGCTAATACTGCCGTGCCAACAAGGAAGAACGCCGTATGAACATTCGAGAATTGCCAAATTTCTCGTGACAGAACATGTATTTTTGACAATATTTATGCATGTTTTTCTTGAAATTTGCAGGTATTTTAGCTTAAAGTGCGTACGAGGGTCATCCAAAAAGTAAGTTTCCCTACCTTGTATCTTCCGAACGAAAAGAGATAAATCAAATCGGTAAAAAAGCACATATTAGGCATACTCTAAGCTTTAAAACAAGCTCAAGTTTTTGAAAATCGGTTAAGGGGTTCGCGAGTAAACTTAATTTTACTGAGACAACCTCCTGTCGCCGCGTGCCCACCTCCGGGGTAGGGATGCGCGGAGAGTCGATTATAGAAGACTCGGGTTATCGCCTCTATATATCACATCAACAAGGAATTTTAATGTTTTCATTGAGTAGGCCTTACCTCACTTCTTGACATAGTCTCCACATCTTTTTTGATATTTCTGGTATCATCATAGCAGCTTCTTGATGCCTTCCGCGTAGAAGCTTTCGCCTTGACTCTGAAACCAGTCATTGACAGTCTGTACCTCTGAATCGGTTGAAAATCGCTTCCATCGTGGAAGTTTTTCCGCTCGGGAACAAATGAAAGTCACATGAAGCTAAAGTACGAAAGTTTGAAGGATTGGGGGAAAATTTCCCCACGCAAAGTAACTGATTTGGGAGTGCAGATCGCTGTCAATGACTAGTTTCGGAGCCAAGACGAGATCTTCCACGCGGAGGGCGTCAAGAAGCTGCTGTAATGATACCAAAAATGTCAAAGAAGATGTGGAGACTACGTCAAAAAGTAAGGTAACTACTACTAACCACTAATAAGGTAGTTACTCAATGAAAACTTTAGCATTTCTTGTTGATGTGATGTAAAGAGGCGATAACCCGAGTCTTCTATAATCGACTCTCCGCGCATCCCAACCCCGGAGGTGGGCACGCGACGACAGGAGGTTGTGTCAGTAAAATTAAGTTTACTCGCGAACCCCTTGACCGATTTTCAAAAACTTGAGCTTGTTTTAAAGCTTAGAGTATGCCTAATATGTGCTTTTTTACCGATTTGATTTATTTTTTTTCGTTCGGAAGATACAAGGTAGGGAAACTTACTTTTTGGATGACCCTCGTACAAAATTATCTCAAAATTTTAGAAAATAATATTCGCAATTTTCCTAGTAAATTTGGTTCTTATCAGAGGAAACTTGGCAACGTCTAAAAGCTCATACGACGTTCTTCCTTAGCACGGCAGACTAGTTAAAGTAGACATTTTTTTCAAACACCTAGCCAAATAATCTAATTTTGAAGACCTACCTATCGGGTTTTGTGAGTTTTGACACAGGCGTGCATTTTTCAGCATTTTCAGGGATAGCATTGGAACATACCTAAATTCCTAAAATTTACCATACAACATTTATCAGTTGACTTTTTTCCGGTGAAGTTTACAAGTAATCTGTATCTTAGGAAATATAGGGCAATTTTGAGATAAATGTTTATTCAGAGCTGAAAATTATTGAAAAAAATTATGAATAAACCGAACACTCTTTTGGTTAGGATAATTAGTTTACAAAACCCGAGGAAAGAAATCATTGATTTTACGATTATCCTAGAAAAATGAACGCCAACATTTTTTTCAATTTACCTGTCGCACAATCATGAAAACTGAAATTAGTCAATGAATGTGCAAATGCATTGATTTATTAGAGACGTTGAATCTATAAATATCGTATAATAAAATTGCATGCATTTCATACAACTTTTTTTAATAATTTCATATGTTCTTATCCGTAGTTAATATACTATTCCATTGTACTACGGATGCAAAACTAATAAAAGATGTATACCTTCATCGACATTGTACTACATATTTTTACATCAGTCAGTAGTCCTGGTCCAGAGGAACCTCTATCTGAGGCAGTTTGATAGTTGAAACATACATTATTTTATGATTTCCGTGTACCTACGGTATGTACGTCCTCATCTTCGAAAGAAAGTAGAGTATTAAAAAAAGTTAGGAGATAAATTAGACCATTGGATTTTCAGACCATTAAAAAACAGCATTTTTTACATCCAAGATTGTAATAATTGTAATAATTGTGATAATTGATTGTACAAATTGTAATAATAAAAAAAATTTAGGCGCGCATATTAATTCATGATTCTAAATTCGAGATCGTATTCCCGAAGAAACTTTAACAGGAAAAATGTTTCTTTTTTTGGAACAGAACCGTGTGTATATATTTTTAGCTGATTTTCAAATGTCATGAAGATTTGCCAATACTATTTTGAATGGAATCCAGCGTAATAATATACCGTCTTACGGCCCGTGCGTCTATCGTAATCAATTTGTGCAATTCTATAATACAATATTGAGCTAAGAATATTGATTCAGATCAGCGAGAAGAATTTCCCCCGATGGTACCAAAAATGGCCAAATCTTCTGATTTGAAAAATTGGATAATTTTCGGAATTGGCATACTTAATTTCGAAGTCTTTTTTTGCAAAGTCGAAAAACGAAAGTAGGTAAACACAACAATTCAGCAGTTTCCCAGGAATCAGGACACACACGCTGTCAATCTGAAGTAAACTGCTTGCAGTAGATCTTCATCAAACTTGACCTCAGCGCCGCATGTATACGAAAATACCACACGTTCACAACTCGCAAAAGAGCTGATCTAGCAAAATTTAGACATTATTATTGCTTTTGCCTGGCTGGTCTTCAAATTAAAATTGAAGCATCTCAGTACTGTTCAGTTTCAGTTCAACGGCCGACTTATAAATCTGTGCATGGTTTTTTGAGTACTTTCTACTCGAGTGTTACTTTGGTGACCACAATCCTGATTGAGGGCTCCCTTTCACCCTTTTAAGTTCTTCCCTATTTTTTCCATTGAAGGTCGATTCTGTGTACTGTATTATTGGAGCTAGATCTTTCTTTAGCGCATTTAATTACCGACTTTTAATGAAAACATATTAATTTCTCCAGGAGAGAAGAGAAGAGGTCTGAGAAGTTTTCTTCTTCCAACTTCGGTTCCATCATAAATGCCGAGTGCTTTGAAAACTTTGTGTCTAGTTTAAAGACCCAATTTTAGTGCAAAGGGTTTTTTTTTTTTTTTTTTTTTTTTTTTTTTTTTTTAATTTCAAATATCCGTAAGCAAGATACGTAAAAGGAGATTGTTAAAAAGGGATATTTCCTTCCACGATGGACCGAGAGAAGTACCAAACATACCTGCAAAAGCGAGAGAAACTGGACAGACTCTTAGCGCAATACAACTCACTGACTAGAGAATTGAAGGACCAGCAGGCATTCAACAGAGAGCTAAAGACATTTTCGAAAAATTTCTCCGGAGAGAGTGCGTCTACAGATGTCGAGAAACCCACAACCTATGATGGCAATAAGCAAAAAGTACCGGGACGCGTGGATAGATATGGAAACAAGTAGTCATGGTTCAAGGAATTTAGGTGCTGGGAAATTTTTCATCTTGCTGCGAAATAACGTAAGTAATATTCTACGTATTCCACACTTCTATTTTTCAGCATTGTTCAGTTTTTAGGGGGAAAAAATAATATTTTTCTTCGAATAATGAAGAAATTTATTACTGCTTCTTACTCTAGCATGAACTCATCACGCAACAATTTGCAATATATATCTGACACCAATGGAAAACCAAGAAGAAACAACTCTTACTCATTGAGCCAATAAATGATATCTTTCATACTGATTTTCGATGAAGGTTATTGCAGTTTTTCACATAATTTGATGTATTACTGTTCAGTATACATTTCATCACGCGTTAGGAATCAGTTCCTTACGTCAAATGCGTAAATTACGATAAATATTGGTTCTCACAATCACAGATTAAGTAGCGGTGCAATTAAACGGTGGACCTCCTCCCGAGATCAGATAGATTCGCCTCGAAAGAATAGGTCGATAGCCAAATGTAATCAGTGTGTACTTACCTTAATTGCAACGTTTCAGTAGTTCATATCACGTTTTGCCTTTTTCAAAGAAAACCAATTGGATTGTCTCCTTATTTTATGTGATTTCTTCAGAATGAGCGGGGAAAATTTACGGAAAATGTCCCTACAGTTTTTTTTAAAATTTTGCAATCCAGGGTCCGCATTTTTCGACTTTAACCGTTGATATGAAGAGCCTGGGATCATGATCTGAAATCTCCATTGCGCTGTCTAAAAATTTGGCGATCGTTTTAACTTATAATAAATAAAGTAGGTGAATTTCTTTTTGCGTCCTCTCTCAAGACTTTTCTACATGTTAGCAAAAAGGTATGACAGTATTTCACCCACATTTCACCAAAAAATTTTTTCTTGGTATATTATTTTGACTTAAAGCGTCGTTTCTTGTCGACGAAATTTGATATTTTTACTTGAATCCGTGCGGATTTAACTCAACATCAGTTTTTTTGAGTTAAAAAAGCAAAGTTTTGCTATAGATAGGTTTAAGTTTAAAAAAAACAATAACAACAACGTTACTCTAACTCAAAGAAACTGATAACTAAAAATAAAACCAATTTTTGTCGACAAGAAGCGACGTTTTAAGTCAAATTAATATCTCAATATTTTTTTTTTTCAGTGCAGTCTTATTGATTACTCTTTTTTAAAACTTTAAACATCCGTTTTCAAAATTTTACAACTTCTTTGCTTTGAAAATGCTAAACATATGCACAGCAATGGTATTCACATGATCATTTTTTTAAAAAAAAAATTAACCATTTTTTAGTAGAAGAACAAACCCTTTTTTCTATTTTAGGCCTTCGTTTTTTTGGATGAAGATGACGCATTTTGAAAACATCGTAATCCAGCTCATTCCATTTTTTAATGGTGTCCACTTTAAGAGTTCCAGCGCGTTGTATATTTTCAAAAATGGAAGAAAGAAGTAATGTACTTCTTGACATTGTTCTCTCACAAGCTAGGAAATTTAACTTTTTCTTTTACCCCAATCTTTTTCCGGATGCCTTGCCTCCCTCAGTCATACCCTCTCAGAAAAAATCTGCCGAATTATCGAAGTTGGAATAGAGATTGGAGGTCTTAAAACTAGACGACAAAATTCAGTGTCCGCCAAAGCCAAGGCAATAGCGGAGTTTTCCCGCGTGAGCGGATGGCTTGATGGTTGCCTACCCGTAAAAATCAAGGGGTGAGTCGATGACTTCGGTCAACCTTGACGATTGGAGCGAGTTGGTTGTTGTCTGGGTGCCGTCTTGGGCCCGGTCATCACTTGGTTACCAACATAATTTCCCTGCACGGCAAGGGTCGCCGTTCCAAGGGATGGTATCCTCAGGTTGAGCTCGTTAATTGGATTTCAGCACTCGCTTTGAAGGGTTTCGCTGGTGTGCAATCTTGCCCCGTGTCCTAACATCCTGCATTTTTTCGTTCCTATATCATGCTCCTATTGCCATAACGATATTTTTTTTCTACTCTCGCCTATTGTCCTTGACTTACTATCGTGAATTTTGATATTTTTATTTTTCATTCATATCATTTTTTTAAAATTTGTTACCGCCACATTTTAATATTGCTCCTTAGGAAACGCAATACGAGAAATCGTGTAGTTGTGGAAATATGTTCAGCTGTGAATGTGTTTATATTGTAAGTGTGCGGAAGTGTCAGTAGTTAGTTCTTGATGGATAATATACAGAAGTAGCCCCTGGAATGGAGAATTTGTTCAAGTCCCTTCGATAAAAATTCTGCAGGTAATTCATTTAACCATCCATATTTTTATTGAGCTTGACGCATACATTTTATTCTATTCGGGCCCGTTTTTGCTCGAGTAATATTGTCAACTTTGATATTTTTTCGCTTTTAATAATTTATTTTTGTGTTTGTTTGAAGAAGGATTATTGAGGGATGGAAAACAGGCAAGATTTAAAACTAAAACGTTTTAAATATGCTCTGAAAATAGCCGAAATGGTTGGATATATCTTCTGTATTAAATACGGGGGTAACTAATTCCCCCAAATGGCGTTCCTGAAAAACGCCGTGACGCTAAGTAAGGAATATTTTTGTGAATGGTGCAGGGATGATTGCCAAGACAAAATCATATGAATGTGTAGAATTATTGGTTATTTTAAGGGGGCTTAAGTGATGAAAACCAATCGGAAAAATAAATCTACCCATTGAAAACTCCCTGCGGTTTTACTGTTTTCGACTGTAAGGAGTTCCTGAATACTCTAGGGGATAGTTTTTCTGTGCACAGAATTATTGGAGTGAATAGTGCAAAGGCTATGAACGGATTAGCATTTTATGTATTTCGTTAATCTTGTCGGTTGCTCCATTTCTCATTTAAGAACGATTTGACTGTAGATTAATCAATTGATTATTCCTAAATTATATAAATTCATTAATTAAACATACCTGGAAACTACGTATTGCTGTATTTTAAAATCACTGAAACCAAATGTTTCAGGAAATTAGTTCTGAGCAATTGATGAATCCATACTTTTGCCAGAAAATTTAAAAATCAAGCGTATAGACTGTGTATTATTTCGCGAAGTGGTCATCTCCTATTTAACATTTCCTCCCTCATCAACTCCAATTTTTACTGAAAAAATATTGTAGAGTTCACCATACTCTAACACAGTGATCCGAGTATTGTCAGAAACACTAGATTCTATGGTTATTATCACCAGAGTTCTGGTGATTGCTGCAATAATTCTGGCTATTTCCACTAAACACCATCACTGAGTAAAGAATCAAGTAGACTTATAGTACCTAGATGTTACTATACATTTTTTTTCGGTGATTAATTAAAACGACCGGTTTTCCGTCAAATTTACTATCGAAAAAATTTGAGTCATGCGAAAGGTCGAAAACTCATGAGCCCCAGCTTTCATTGTTAATCATGTCTCGCATGGCTCATGGATATTCGGACTTTCGACTTCTTTGCATGCCAAAATTTGATTTTTTTTTTTAAAAACATTTGAAGAAAAAAGAAAAAAAAAACGAAAGTCTGAATACCTATGAGCCGTACTAGACCTTATTAACTTCGTAGGCCAAGACTCATAAGTTGTTTTCTTCGCTTAACTGAAACTGCAGGAGGGTCTTGATTATCCGCGGATTTTTTCAGTTGCTTAAATCAAAAGACGTTGCAATTTTATGGCGCCCATTTCGGTAAAAAAAAAAAAAAAAAAAAAAAAAAAAAAAAAAAAAAAAATCGCTCCAGAAATTATGTTTGGCATAATAACTTCTTTGATGTAAATGTAATCATTTTTAACCAATAATTACATTTCTGGCCATATTCTTACAAGGGCTTCGATGGACTCTTTTGGGAAATAATCTTTTCAGTCTATTTTCCCAGCTAATCGTCGCGGATAATCGAGAGAAAGTTCGACATGGCCTCTTTTCAAATTTATTGATTCAATTGATCGATCCCTCATTGAATGAACCTCGTTAGCACCGTAGATTTATTTTACGGACTCACAGGTGATATAGTGCGTGTTATTACAACGCGGCTCACCTGCTCATTCATATCTCTCCGGGAGCAACCCCCGGGCCGCGGGCACCATCCCCTATAAATAGGTTCACCCACGCGTAACTACTATCACTATCAAGTTGAACTTGGCGGCGTTTCCCCTCCCCCACGCGACCGGGCCCGTCCAAGACTGGCATTAGTCTCGTCCCCCCTTCAACCCCCGCTTGAGTGTTGACTCATACCTCTATCGATTTTGTTTTACTATCTACACTTGCCCTTTCCTGGCCCACCCCCTCTACTCTCCGGCCGGTTCGGCTGCCCGGCGAATTATACCCTTCAATTATCTGCAGGATTATCTTGGATTGGATTTAATCATTACGCGATTGATCGAACATGCGGCTATTGTAGTGCCCTCATGGAGAGTACAGACATTGGACATTGGGACATTCGGTAGACATTGGGGAATCCGGTAGACATTGGGACATTCGGTAGACATTGGGACATTCGGAAGACATTGGGACATTGGGTCCTAATGATCCAGGAAAATGGCGACTCTGTATACAAGATCTTGAGCTTATGCTCTTTGCTCAATTTTTCACTTCTTCACTTGGACATAGAGTCTAGGGGCGAGGAGGCTGTGATAATTTTTTAATGTTTATTCATTCTTTCTCGTGGCTGAAAATAACGTTTTCTGACTTGAAATAGCTGGACCTTGCCTAACTGTCTGACCTAAAATAACCTCACTTCGCCTACTCACTCTGACCGAACCTAACCTCACCTTAAAACAATTTTCACGTGGTTCCCTTTTATTAAGTTCCATTCTCAAACAACTACGAGGAAACAATGATCGATCACTTAATTCTTTCCTGGGGTTTGATTCAGATTGAGAAAACGAATGGACAGATGGGAGATACTGCCAATCGACGAATCCGTAAATAATCGCCATCTACTAAATTCATTATTTTTTGCGTTCTATCAAATAGACGTAGGTAGTTATGCTGAGAACTGTGTGAAAATGACTTAAATCAAAATACGGAACTTTATGCATGAAATGTTCGTTTCTTATGGCCCTTAATGATTTCATCAATTCGCGTTCCGTTTTCTTCGGCATAACTCGTCGTTTCATAACGGAGCAACCTGTTCCGTTTCAATTTTGCCAATTTTTTTCTGACAAATAACGTTTTAATCAGGAGAATTTTGGAAATTTCTGATTGGAAAAGACGCTGATTTTTCCTCGGATATCATGCAAAAATTAGACAAATTTTCAAAAAAATTCGCCTAGGTGCATTCTTGTTAAAATATCGAATTGTTTGAGTTGATTTTGCAACATTGGAATCGAGTTACGATTCCTCGTCCGGACGAAAAAAGACGACGAAATACGTCCAAACATATGCTGACGTGCATAGGAAAAACGCCGTAAGAGCATTCAGGCGTTGCCATATTTCCTCAAATAGGAAAGGAATTTTTTAGGAAAATTCAAAATATTTTCCATCCAATTTTTCAAACAATTTTGTTCACAATTGAATCTAAGAAACCCGACAATTTTCGAGGAAAAATATGCACATCATTCTTCAAAAACACATGTTTTATTCGGGGAGATTTGGCAACTCTCGAATGTTCATACGGCGTTCTTCCTTAGCACGGCAGTATGAACGTCCTCGGGAAAGGAGTTCGTGGTTTATGGAGGCAAAATTGACAGCACGCATGAGATTTTCGGCGAGTAGGGTTGAAAAATCAGATTTTAAAATTCCGATGGAGAAAATTTCTACTCTGACATAGAGCGTTTTCACGGAAAAGATAGGAAAAGTGAAAGATATTTTGGGAGAGGGAACTATATAGAAATAGAAAGTGATACGGAAGCATTTAAAAAGAAGTGATGGCTGCAAAGACTGAAATGCTTGAGCCGCTCGAGTTATCCATAAGCGCGAAACCCTACGAATGAAGTTCGCCAAAGAAAGACCCGGTCGTCAAGGGTGACATAACCTGTCATCCAGCATCACGTGACCAACTATGACCTCGCGATGTTGCCAAAAAGCTACTCGTATTGCCGGAATCACACGCTGAATTCAGCAGCTGAATGTGGAAGTCAACAGTCATCGCCCAACGGCTGAAATTTCGCAAATTCGAGCTATTTTCATCAATATGTGTATCAAATCTATCTAATCGAATAGTTCAGAAAAATCCAACATTAGTCCGATGGTTGCTGAGAATTGTTGCTGAATTTTGCGCGTCACGCGCAAAATTCCTTGAAGTTTTTGCTTAATTTTCTTCGCACAGAGAGGGAAAATCATGGCAGTTTTAAAGAATGGAGATGTTGCATGTCGACGGTGAAACTACCAAACCACGTATCTCGGTTTGCGACGTCGCAGACTTCCTGTCATACTTTATTTTTTAAATGAAAAACTACTTAACGTCCAGTCTTGAAAATTTCTGTGATTTTTCCTCTTCGTGCGGAAAAAATTCTGTGAAAATTTCAAGGAATGATATTGATTTGGTCTACTTCAAAAAAATAAAATGTGAGCGTAGATTTTTAAACACCGCATAAACGAGATACGTGGTTTGGTAGTTTCACCGTCGATGTGTGAGGAATTTGCGATTTGACTACTGATTTTTATGTAAAAGTTCGCAAGAAATACGATGGTGCCACTGGTTTTCTCTGAAATTAACTCCCAAGCTCAAAAAAAGCTCTCAAGTCGAGGCCAAAATGGAGGGGATTTCCCATGCTATCCTGAGAGTCCACGTCTACATCAAGACAAACTCTCTATGCAAAGATAGGGAGCAAATACATTGACAGGGCTGCCACTTTATTTGGGGACTCCAGAACTGAAAAGACGGCAACCCTGCTAAAACGCTCTGAACGTTAAACGCCTTGAAAAACCCTCAAAGACGTGTCTTTTTAATTTAATTTTGGCGTCGCAAAAAAATTCAACGCAGTAGAGGGTTAATCAGCTTCCTTCCTGAGGGGGTTTTCGCAACTCAAGTTGGAAGCAGTCCTCCGTTTCCCAGATAATAGTACGTAATAACATTTCGAGGTTGCAAAATTTTCAGTAACAAATTTTATTTTTGGTAGGAAACTATTGAGTATTCTTAAATGAAAATCTCGCCGATTTTTCTTTAGGTATACTCAAAAATTGATGAAATTTTGGACAACAATTGCGACGTTATTTTCTATTATGGAATTGACTTTGTCAGAATTAATTTGGCAACCATGGAATGGATCTAGTTCTTTTCCTTCGGAAACGACGAATCGTATCACGACTTTGTGACTCACGCAACTTGCCA